ACAGACCACTTCTTTGGATGCTATATGCATCCGAAGAAGTGGGCTGTAGTCCACGAAAGCTTATGCTCTAATAAATTTGTTAGTCTATAATAGTTTTATTTTCATCTAAGCGTAATTATGGACCTTCATATGCATATGCAACTCTTATTGATGCCAATGGTAGGTATTAGAGTATATTGGAGAGAATGAAGTCTTACATTTCTTTCTGTAATACCAGTTGTTGACTGCTGTCCTCTTTTTGGTACCTAATCATTTTTTTAGACCATATGGTATGGATTCCTATTATTTCAATGTCAAGGTTGTAATACTGTACAGCAAGCAGTGAAAACCTTTTTATTCTTCCAATTTCTCCTCAGATTTATATTTAAAATATCTTAGCACTGCATTTAATTTAGGATTGAAACATTTTTTCGATAACATTAGAAGTTCTTCAAAAATCTTGCTCCCGAATTTTTCAGAACTCCATGTATTTCTCACTAATCTATAGCTCCTGGCACCTGCTCACATTCAAATTGGAGAGAGATGGGGTTATTTTGTGTTTGATGCTTTGCTTCTATTAATGTCACTGGCAGTTTTGCACACATACTGAGATGAAATATACCCTGTAGCCTTTTTCGTACCTGCTTTTATTATATCTGCTGCGAAGTACAGATGTTTTTATTGGTTAGAAGAAGAGTCAGCGCAAACTATTCCAGCAGTTTCTGACATCTCCACTTTTTTGCATGACTCTAAATATATAGCCTGATTTTAATCTTGCTTACACCAATTTTACCGTCATAGACTTTAATGGAGCTACTTCTGATTTGTATCCCTGTGACATCAGAATTTGGCTCATGGGCTCTAGGGTATATCTACACTTCATTGTAAACCCAGGTCTGTGGGATCTGAGCTTGTGGACTCGGTGTTTCTAGGGCTGATCTTGAGTATCCACACTGCATTGTAAACTTGGGCTTATAGTTACAGGACACTGGTCTCACAGCCATGCTAACATGTCCATACTGCACTACCCAGAACTTCTGACTCAAGTCTGCAGTTCGAGCTGGATTCACACTGCAGAATTACAGGGCTTGGACCTGAGTCACCGCAGGACTCCGGTTCTCACTCCCACACCTCCCAAGCAGGGTCCTAGGACATGAATCCTGAGTGCTTGCTGACCTATGTCAGACTGATTTGTATGTGGATGGAAGCAGGGCTTGGGCTCAAACCGGAGTCAGAGCCTGGGCTTAGAGTGCAGTGTAGACATCCCTTAATACCCAGTTAACTGATTTTCTGACGCTTACCGTGCATGCTTCACCACAGATGATGCATACAAAATTCTGTGTTAGATTACACATTCCATGCCACTAAGCATCCATTGGCAGATTCATCTCAAGAAAAAGAAGAGTGTGTTTCCACCACTACATTCCCTACTCAGGCTTCCACTATGTGGGGGGAAAGGTGCAGATTCAGTTTATAGCTGAGGTGCCATAGAGCCCCACTGGCAGAGACTCATAGACTTTAAGGTCAGAAACGACCATCATTATCATCTGGTGTGACCTCCTGCGCACTGCAGGTCACAGAACCGCACCCACCCATTCCTGAAATAGACCCCTAATCTCCAGATGAGTTACTGAAGTCCTCAAATCATGATTTTAAAAATGTCAAGTTACAGAAAATCCACCATTTACACTAGTTTAAATCTGCAAGTGACCCATGCCCCATGCTGCAGAGGAAGGTGAAACCCTCCCCAGGGTCGCTGCCAATCTGACCTACAGGAAAATTCCTTCCTGACTTCAAATATGGTGAGCAATTAGACCCTGAGCATGTGGGCAACACCCACCAGCCAGACACCTGGGAAAGAATTCTCTGTAGTAACTCAGAGCCCTCCCCATCTACTGTCTCATCACCGGACTTTGAAGATATTAGCTGCTGGAGGGATGCCATGCCACCTTCTTGCCCAGTGCCTTCCCCTTTTTTGGGCTGTGCTAGTCGCTGTTTATAGGGCAGATTTAATCACTGCAACCTCCTTCTGGCAGACTTTCTTATGACAGATGCTTGTGAATCTAGCTCATAATTTAATATTATTGCACAAATAAAATAAGCTACCTTTATTGATTTGGTTGGGGGTTAAGGATCGCGTTATTTGATAGCCCTCAGATTATCACATGTTTCATTATAAGGGTATCTTTTTTTACACAGTTGCTAGTGGAAATTGTGCAATTTGGTACTAGAAACCTAAAATCCAAAGCATACTGCACATATAATACTAGAAATAAAATGTCACCACTACAACATGTCCCAGACAGCATAAACAATCACCTAGTAATGTCAAACTCATTTCATTGCATGACATATTTGCAAGCTTGCTTTTGAAGAATGGACCAGATCTTGCAGGTCCTGTAAAGCATCTCTTTACAATAATGATGATATTTTTGGCCACTGACAAAGAAGAGCAAACACATTTGCATAACCCTGAGCAGAGCTGAGCTTAGGCTGCCAAAAATCTACTGTGGAACTGGAAAGAGAAAATGAGCCTTTTCTTTTTCCTGGCCTAGGTTTCTTCTTTGGGGTGTTGAATGGGTACTGATGAGAAACATCTTATAGATGAGAAAAAATGAAGCAAATGGGAAGTACCACACAATATGTCTGTAATGAAATCTCTCGTGGCATTGAATAATTATTATGATAAATGTCCTAAGAATTTCACCATGCTCATTAGCCTTATGGTTGCTTAATCATAAAAGAAAAATGCCAGGTAATCAAAGTGGCCCATTGACTGTCCGAGAGTATTTCAGGAAGGTAAATACCTGTGAATCTGATCTCAAATTTTAGAATGTTACAGCACATATGACTGTGTAGTGTTAGCCATGGTGCCTTCCTTATTATTGAAGTTGTTTAATTTGTGTGGTAGTTTGTGCAACCATTACTTATGTTTGCGAGCAGTACCTATTGGAAATATTTGTGAGTGAGTGAGTCCTATATTTGCAAAGATGCCTCAAATGGAAATTAAACTTTCTGCTTTAGACAGTTACAAAGACTCAAACAAGTGAATCTGTAAAAAGAATTTTCCTTCTCTGGCCAAAAAAGTGTATTTCGTTGATAAGGCCACAAGCTGCTTTCATGTGTTATGAAGCTGAAGACAGCAGTCATCTCTTTGCAGCTGAAGGATTACTGAGGGGAATTCATTTTGGTTTCTTAGCCAGTAAGCTTATGGTTCATACTAATAGAAGCTTTCTGCCTTTTTGAGATGGCTAGCAATGGTATGAAACTTACTTGCCTCAAACCTGCTTTTATTTTCTCATTAATTGTTAACTAACATGGCAGAAGCCAACTAAAAGAACCTCCTCTGTCCAGCATGAAGCATTATATGTGAGAAAAAGAATCCCCTGCATAAGGTATTCAATTCAATTCAAAAAAATTGCACCCTACAGAGATTCGTTTGACTGTTCCAGCCACAAGTGCATGAGCAAAATGCACCAGCCTTGCAAGAAGAAAAAAAGAAAAAAAAAGAAAAAGAGAAGAAAAAAGGCTAAGATAGAATTACTTTGTGGGGAGTTGAAGGTGATGGAAGGGCGGCCAGACCTCAATCTTTTGTGGAAGCAATTCTAATCATTATGGCCTGAAAAGGATCACTGTGAAATCGAACATCATGCATTCTTTTATTTCAGGGATTACAAGAGAATTTCCATTTTGTTTTTCCAAAGAGTCTGCAAGTGTTTAAATATAAGCCTCTGCCTAAGTCACCAGAATGTATATGTTGGCACTTCTTATGTTGGTGGTTTCTGCATTGTCACATCTGAGCACACCTACAGGAGATTGGGATAAGATCTACTCATTCTGTTGGGTTAGACAAATTAGACAGATTAGACCATCCTAAATCAAGATTTTCAAAAATTGGTGCCTAAAGTTAGGCTCCTAAATCCATTTTAGGTTCCTAAGTAGATCTGGTCTAATTTTCAGACGTGCTGGACATGCTCAGTTCCCACTGAATGTACTCCGCACTTTTGAAACATCAGGCCAAACAATTTCAGAACCCAACTTCAGGCACTCATTTCTGAAAAGCTTGGTCCCAGCTACCATAGTGATCATGACTGTG